CTGCTGGCACGGGTTCTTGCAGCCTTGCAAGTGGCACAAACTGTGTAGCCAGCCCGTGGCCCTTTAAGGGCTCCGGGGCCGGGAGGGGGGCAATAGAGTTTCCCTGGTGTTGGCCAGAGTGGCCACCAGGGAAACCTGGGAAGCCTTAGCCTCCTACTAGTTCGAATTAAGGGTCTACACAGCCCTTAATTTGAACTAGCTAATTCGAACTAGGCTTAATCCTCGTAAAATGAGGTTTACCTAGTTCGAACTAAGTGCTCCGTTAGTTCGAATTAAGTTCGAACTAACGGAGCGCTAGTGTAGCGCCTAGGAAAGTTAGTTCAAACTAACGTGTGTTAGTTCGAACTAACTTTGTAGTGTAGACATACCCTATGTTACATGAAGCTGTGTCACTTGAAGTGCTCATGCATTTTGACTGCTTTCAATTTAAAAAGGAGCCATAGACTGCTCCAATCCTCAGGACAATATTAAATTAGCTTGGGGTTTTATTTTTGAATGTTTTTCCCAGGAGCTCATAATATAAACATCCCCAGTATTAAGCATTCATTCTTTAACTTCAAATCTGCAAGCTTTTATTAAATTGATTGGTTAGGTCATTCAAATGACTATGTGGGTAATTAACACTATGACAGAGTTCAGAGCTTTCTTTCAAGTAGGTTACTTCCACACAAACACATGCAGCAATCCACCAGAACCAGTTCAACTAAATCAAGGGTGGAGCTGTACACTGTAGCTCTATATGTAGCTCACAATAGCACTCATCTGTAATACTGAGGTGCATTCTCTAGTTATTCCATATTGCAACATACAATACTCTGTTGATCCAACTGGCTTGGGACATGTACTCATCACAGGCTGAATCACCATATTAAAAATGACTGCAGTCTGCTCTATTTTATGCTAATTGGGAGTAGGCTTTAAGCTCCTGGCAAGTTGCCTTTTTTGGAATAGGCTGGAAAAAATGAACTTATTCAAAGTCAGTTAAGAATTTTTAAATCCATTGGGCATCAGGGAAAAGTGTCTGTCATACAGAAGTCATAAACTCCACTAGGGTGCAGTCCTACTCCTGCAGGCCTTTCTAGCCTCAGATGGCAGTTGCTGCCTTCTTCATGAAACTCTAGCACAGTGTTTCTTAAACTTTTTAAGACCAAGGAACACCAAACAATAATTATTTTTTATGCAGAAAACTAAGGATTTTTTTGTTGAGAAAAAAAAAAAGTCGCCTGCTCCTTTAAGGGTGGCCATTTTGAACTCTGTTCTCCATGGCATACCGGTGTGCCACAGAACACAGTTTAAGAAACACTGCTCTAGCACAAAATAATGTCCCAATGGTCTGTTTCTGTAATCCTCCTAAGCACCTTCAGAGTTTGAGAGCAGTCATATACTGCTTCACCTGCCTGTTCCCCATGCTAGCTCCACAGTTCAGTGGCTCTACTCTTGCTAGTAACTTAAGCACATGATTTTTTTAAAAATCCTTCTCATCTTCTAGGACCGTGGTCCCCAACACGGGGCATTTGTGTGTGCCCAAGTGCTCAGAGCTGGCCTGGCCCCAGGCACGTGGCACATGCATGGTGCCGGAGCCGGCCCTGGGCACATGGCGTACGGTGAGCACCGGCCCCGGGAGCGCCGTGGATTGGCTGCCCGTGCTCTGGGCACGCGGCGCTTGCAGGGGGTGCCGTCCCCGGACGCGCGGTGCTTGGGGGGGGTAGCGCCAGCCCTGGGCACGCGGCGCTTGGCGGGGGGAGCGCCGGCCCCAGGCGCACGGCGCTTGCGAGGGGGAGCGCCGGGTGCGCGGTGCTTGCAGAGGGCACCGGCCCCGGGCGCGTGGCTATGGGGGGGCCCCGCCCCCAGGCATGCAGCTATGGTGGGGGCCGCCCTCGGGCGCCCGGCGGGCGAACAGCCACACCCCCTGGCGCCCGGTAACTTCAAATGGTTGGGGACCACTGTTCTAGGATGATGTCAGTGTATTATCTTTTGTATATGACTTTGCAGTGCACATCAGGATAGCATATTTTTCTGTACTAAACATTTCCACAGATTCCATGTTGATCTGCTGCCTTTAAAACTAACTAGCAGTTTATATACTGAGCTATAGAAACATCGGTAACTCACAACAGCAAATTGTACCTACAGATCTGTCATTGTTAGAGTCAACAAACATCAGCAGCCACAGACATGTTTTCATTATTCTTCTGGTCAATGCTCAAAGACATTAGCCCACTACAAATTCCCATAGATATTTTTGAGTGCCAGGAAACTAAATTAGTGTCAAGCAAGTTAACGGGTTTTTTTTGTGCCTTTTTCATGAGAACAGCCTTATTAGGTCTGACCAGTAGTCCTCCTAGCCCAGTATCCTAAATTCTGACAGAGGCCCTGCCAGGTTCTTCAGAGGGAATGGGGGGAAAAAAGAACGATTGAGTGATCAATCCCCTATTGTCCATTCCCAGCTTCTGATAGTCAGAAACTAAGGACAGCCAGAGCATGAATTGCATCTCTGACCATCTGGGCTAATAGCCACTGAAGGACCTATCCTCCTTGAACTTTCTTAATTCCTTTTCTAACTCTGGTGTAGTTTTGGCCTTTACAACATCTGCTGGCTATGAGTTCTGGCTTGTATTTTATGAAGAAGTACTTATGTTCTTAATTAACAATGTTCATTTTTCTATTGAGAAAAAGATTAATGTTTTAAATGGCCATGATTTTCAGAAGTGCCTTAGATTTCAGGTGGCCAAAGTGAAAACACTTTGAAGTGTTTTCACTTGTGTAATAAGCACTTTGTGAAAATCAGGTCTCTTTCAAACAGCTCATATTGGGTTTCCCTAAATTGAGGCACCAGAAATCTTGGCCATAGTATATATATGCCTCATATCAGAGGAAACAGATTACAGAAGTGAAGAAGTTAACACTTGGGAAAGAGGAGAAGATTAGGAAAAAAACTCATAAATTAATCTCTGGTGCCATCTTAACCATGATAAAGTAATACTAGAACAAAAAGCAATCTCTCTGCCTTCCTAGCCTGAGGTCTCTAATTATAGCAAGATTGTGATACCCCAACTAATTTTAATAGTACTGTCCACCTCAAGTAATTCAAAGTAAAAAAGTGTTACTTGTGGATTATGGTTATGGTACTATTTTGTGAAATTAAGGTTTTTGAAGACTGGCCATTAGTTCTCATACTTCATTATTCACACTTCATGGTTTAATCTTTAAAAAGTGAAGATAAATGCTGGAAGAGAAAGACTAGAAGGATTGTGGCCAACTGTCTAAGCTGTTTCAGGCGGAGTAATGATAATGAAATGTTAGCTGAGTCAAAAAGGACAAAAATCAAGGGCAGGAAGAGCAATAACTTTTTAAAAGATTAAAAATAGCAAAAAGATATTCTGACATGAACTGGTTTCTGTTGTCAAACTAAAGCATAATCTATTCAAATACACATGTAACATTTTCTAGTTCTAATTTCAAAACTGGTCAGGTTGATGGTCCCAGGTCTTCACTATGCAGCAGATCTATGGGCAACGACTGATTCAGAGGGGGTAGGGGGTGTCAGTTTTTCACATATAGTGTAGATGTGATAAATCAATCTTCAAGCACTCTCGTGTTGAATGTGGTTCTCCACCAGAATGAGAAGTGTAGGCATTGTTGATGGGAGAGCATCAGCTGTAGATTTACCACAGTGAAGATCCTGAGGTGAGTTAGAGCTAAGTACTTTGACTTGAAGTTATGTAACTTAGGTTGACAACCCATGGTAGTGTAGACTAGGCTCCAGTAGCCAACCAACAAGCACAGTAAAGAAATTCTAATGTATGTCATTGAGAGTGTGCGCATATGTACATTTGACAGTAAATGTTCCATAAATTAAAAAGAATGACTACTTACAAACTCCCATGTTTGTTCTTCCTTTTGCCAGCCAATTCTTTTTTCTTATTTTCTTGCCAAATGTTTTTAGTGTCAGTGTTTTCACTCAAATTTGTGTTTATTCCATGAAAAAGGTTTAGAGGTTTTTATCTGGCACACCTAAAATTGTTCCTCTCTCCTGTTCCTTCGAGACAGATTTTGTTTGTAGTGTTGTTGAAGCCATGTTGGTCCCAGTATGCAAGAGAGACAAGGTGGCTGAGGTAATATATTTTTGGTGGAAGAGAGACATTTTTAAGGTACATGGAGCCCTTGTTTAGGATGGAAATAGTCTGACTTTTGCCAGACTTGAAGAGTCAGACCTATTCCCTTGCCTAAACACACTTTATCTCTTCCACCAACAGAAGTTAATCCAATAAAAGGTATTACTGTACCACTTTCTCTCTCTGATTGTGTTTTGTAAGGCTGCTGTTCCCCCCTCTTTTCTCTCTCACTATTCTTTTACATTTGAATCCCCCACTTCCTTTGTCTGTCTCCCCAACTCTACCCTACACTCCCTTTCCACATACACCTTCCTTATCTCTCTCCCTTTCTTCTTGCTCTGTGGCAATAATTTCCCCACCCCCTCCTACTGCCTCCACATTTCAACCTGTCCTTGGCTCTATCCATTTCCCCCTCCTCCCCATCATTTCTCTTCGCCCTCCCTGCAGATAGCTTTATATTCTGTCCCGTTCGTTCCCTCTCTCTATGGTCTCTCACGTTGCCCTGTCCCCATCTCTCTCATTACCGCTAGGGCTACTTTTCATTCCTCCTTTCCCCCCTACCTTCCCCCCACCCCACCCCCTGGGGTCATTCCCTACCCTTAAAATATTGGTTTTACCTAATTTCAGTAAGGCCCTAACCTCTGCTCTCCACCTCCCTCCCGCCCCAGGAACTGCCCTGCAGGGACAGAGCAAGGCACAGTCAAAACTTGTCTCTTTCCTCAGGGTTTCCACACCGCTCTGGTGCATAGACCTGTCCCCTCGCCGAGGCTCCAAGTGACTCCTGCCGCCTTGGCAAGCTGCTGAGGAGGGACACGGCTCCTGCTCAGGTGACTGGGTAGGGCTTGGCGCCCGGCCAAGGTGAGCACGTTTAAAGAGAAGCCCTCGCCATCCTCTCCTTCCCAACGCGCACCGGACTTGCCCAGTCAGGAACAACAGCAGAGCCCCAATGGGTACGTGGTGGGGGCCGGAGTCCCACAGACCTGAAGGAGGAGGAAGGTGCTGGGACTAGAGGAGGAGGGCTGGAGGCTCTGCGGTGGAAGGTTTACGGGGGCAGAAAGACCTAAAGTTAGACTCGGGCTTTGGAAGGCAGCTCTGTTCGGGGGGTGCCGGTT